TGTGTGTGTGTGTGTGTGTCTGTGTGTCTGTGTGTCTGTGTCTGTGTGTGCGTGGTCGACCACTCACCTCGGCCGTTGTGTTCGTCTTCCTCTGCGGCAGAATGGTGATCTCTCTCTCGTCCTGACTGACCTGAACTTTACTCCCTCGCTTCACCACCAACGAGTGTGTAAATTATCATGAGAGAGAGAGAGAGGGAGAAAGAGAGAGAGAGGGAGAGAGAGAGAGAGAGAGGGAGAGTGAACAAGGTGTTGCACTTTGTCCTCAGTCTATATTCAGAAACTTTTACATTAGTGAAATAATTAAAATCACTTTATTTAAGAGGCGTATGTGGAAGTATCATCAATATGAATGTTTTATATCTTGTTTTAAAAATTCTATAAAACTTTTATTTCAATTATTGATTAATCTGCTGATCGTTTTATTGATGAATGTTCATCAGTTTGTTTCGTCCAAACTAAACRAATCATTCTGTCTGTACTTGTACATGAAGGTACTTTAAAGCCTCTTGTTTTATTGTAACTTTAGAGAAGTGTAGTTGAGTAAAGTCARTATGAGATGAAGTATGAAGTGGAATCACTCAAAGACAAGTACCTCACAATTGTGTTCAAGTAGAATCCTTGAGGAAATGCATTTAATTACTTTCCACCAGTGGTGTAGTTACAGAGGGAATAATGTTTTTATAAACGTAACTTAACCTGTTAATTAACCTGAGATAAAAAAAAACTCACTAACCTTTAACAGACAACTAAATCTAAAACTAAACACAAAGCTAAATATGAAAGTCGATTCACTCAAAGTCCATATTTTCCCACATTTGAAAATAAATACTTCACATTGTTTCATGTTTACACACCGACTGTGAAACCTTTAGTTTTCGAAACAGGTTGGATTTGCTGCGTTCTTTCGTAATCAGTCAAAAAATGCAAACTTTGACACAAAACATTTAAATGTGAAACTTCGCTGTAAAACACAGGATTAACACACGAGTTGAGAAAATCACAAGTGCGATGCTGTGAAAAAAAAATATATATATATATCACAAGAGGAAAAGACTTTACAAACCAAAGCCGAGTCTCAACCTCAAACAGTCTTTTGAACGTCTGTCACAAACGGTGTCCTCACAAGTGTACACACACACACACACACACACACACACACACACACACACACACACACAGTCTGCTGTTTGCACATTCCTCTAATTTAACTTCTCCCTTTTATCTTCCTCTTTTCCCTCCATCCATCTCTGACGTTAATGGAAGCAAAGACATTCATCACAGTAATCATTAAACTCTCTCACCCCTCACACACATGCACTTGTTCACTCTGCTGCTGGTTATTGCTGCGATTTCGTCACAGAAGACAAATCCATCTTTTTACTGTTTATTTATTTATTAGGATTTTCTTTCTTGTGATCATAATAACTGTTTCCTCTTAATCTGTAAATATCTGACTATGTTTCGGATGAAATTAATTAACATCAACTTGGAAAGACGAGGAGATTCCAGAGCTTTTGGTGATAAGAGCCGACGCCGGTGTGGCCGAGCTGTCAACATCAACACTGATCCTTCCACAGCAGAATTTATACGTCATGTCCGGCCTCCTGCTGCTCTATAGGCTCCACCCCCCACCTGAATGTTCCCCACATGTTCCTGTTGTTGTGAAACTCTACAGCTGGTTTAACTTCTTCATATCTACTCTGATAGTTTAGTCCACTGGTTCTCAACATATGGGTCGAGTCCCTTCAGAGGGTCACCAGGTCAATCTGAGGGTCATCACATGATTCATGAGAGAAGAAAGAACAAACCCAAAGTTCTGATTGACTGAAGTTGAGCTGAGCACATTTATAAAGCAGAAATACTCGAGTTGACAGATGGATTAATTTTTTATTACTTGTTCGTCTCTCGGTGCCGGAATTAAACTCTCCGTCTACTGAGTCAGAGATTTATTTCTCATTTAATATTACACTCTGCTGTGTGTGTGTGTGTGTGTGAGTGTGTGTGTGTGTGTGTGTGTAGTACAGGAGCAGATATAGTTTATGATTCATTTATCATCAGACTGTAAAACATCAGAAGACACAACACCCCACCCCCCCCACACACACACCTCAGCTTGTGTGGACTTCTGTCCGTCGTCACGACAGTAACGCTTCGTGGCTTCTTCGTCCATCATCTGCAACAAACACACACATGTTTTTTGTTCTATACTTGTGAGGACACTCAGTTACAGACATAAGATTCCTCAAATCATGTCTCAACCTTAAAATCTCTTAAATATTAGGAGCTCAAACTACAACTAATATTACACTTAAATACAACACAGTAAAAAGAGCTTGATATAGACATTGAAAAGTAAAAAACAATAGAATAAAACAACAAACATTATTGTGTCAAAAATGCCAAAATCACAGAAATGACGTGCTGCAGGTTTCTGATCGACTGTGTCACAACAGAAAGTTATTAGATTCACTGTCTCTGGTTTAGAACCAAATGACACAATTAAAACTCAACATATATTGAGAAGTAACATATAGATATTGAATTATTATTTCTTTSACTTGTAATTGAGGGTTTTCTGTTCTTAGTATCAGATTTGTGCATTTTTGTCTGATTCTAGTTGCAGCAGAAATAAATTAGAATCAGTTAATTGGATATTCAATTAATTGAAACTTTATTAATTGAAACAAAGTCCATGAAATTATTGTTTTTTCTCAAATTAACCATCATGGTTCAATATATTTGCAACAGAATTAAACTGATATTTCAGTGGAAAGGAAAAACGAACCGACACTGAATTTTACCATTAAGACAAAACAATGTGATAATTAAATCAGTTAAATACAAATGTAATTGATTCAATATTCACTGCACACAGACATCTACACACACAGAGACACACTCTTACCTTTGTTTGATGCGGAGACGTGTGACTGGAACCAAGAGGAAGAAACAACTGACAACCAAGTCATCAACCAGACACACAAGAGAGAGAGAGAGAGAGTGTGTGTCTGTGTGTGTGTTAATAACAGTGGGTTTTAAACTCTGTTGTTCGTCGCTCTGTAAAATGACAGACATCACACACAGCCTATAAAGCCTGGCATTATGGGAACAGAGGTCACTGTCACACCGTGGACTGCATTAATACGAGACTGTCACACACACAACCCGCACACGCACACGCACAGAGTTGCGTTCATTGTCGCCTGCAGACGCTAACACGTCTAATTATCACAGAGATAATAGCAGCTGTGTGTCGGTGTGTGTGCGTACACTGACGTTAACACCCCTCAGGCTGAGCTGATGATTGACAGCTGAAACTTACACTTAATTTGCACCGAGATGTAAAAACACAGTTGTTAACGTGGATTAAACCATTTAAAAAATTGTAAAAAGTTGTTTTTAAATTTACATCTTCAGGCGTGAATTTTGTGTCAAAGTCGTCCAGGGTGTCTTTAGCCTAGTTCAACACATTGTTCATGTTGATTTAATTAAATTTTATATATATTTATGAAACAACCTGCATGTCGTCAGACTGTTGAGGTGGTCTGAAAATACACCTCTGCTAAATATCTCCATCACTTATTTGTGGAGAAGAGGAAGTGGAAACAGACGTGTGAACAGCGACAGGTCTGACTGTGAGTCACACACACACAGGACCGAGTGTGTGTATAGGTTTATTTGTGGGATACAATGTGATACAAACCAATTATTCACTGTTACACAAACATTAGAGGCTACAGTTCATGAAGCGTTTCAATTAAAATCCAACGTCATCAAACAATAACATCATCATCATCTTCATCATGGTAACAAAGCTAAATCAGGAAGTGACATCAGAAACACACGCACAAGCCGAATCACATACAAACAAACATAGTCTGCACACGTGACGTGCATGATCACAGACACACACACACACAGTGTAAGAAGCATGACATACAAAAAGCTGTAGAAAAATACTCTTAAAAAACCAAACACACAGAACGATGACGACCACTTGGAATGTTCTGGATGTCAGTTTGACGTTGGCATGGAGCACACACACACATCGGGTAACGTGTTGGTAACGTGTTGCGCAACATGTTTCCCTATGATGAGTTCTCTTTTCTGAAACGAAATCTTAAACTTTTAATGGAAAATTGAGGATTTCGGTCAAATTTTCTGCATTTCTCAGTTTTTTAAGGTGATTCTGACTCAAAGTACCGACATAAAAATAAAACGAAAATATAAAAAAAAGAAGAAGAAAAAAAACAGAACATTTATAAAATAAAATAAAAGTAAATGTAAAATGTTTCTTCAAATATGAATCAGTAATTTAAGAAATCACTGAAACTAGAAATGTTTTCTTATGAATAATTCATGTAAACCAATGAACTTGACCATGTTTCATTAAATTAAAAATAAATTTCAGATTTTGTCCATGAAACAACATCGTGTTGACGTCCCTCAACCATGAGTTAAATACCATTAAAACGAAAACATGTAAACTATTGATCAAGGTTCCGATTCGTCATAACACCAAACAGACAAACTTTCATAAATCAGTGTTAGATAATTAGCAGTGAGTGTGAAGACACTTCGTCTCATTAAAAATATTATTGACGAGCAGCGCGGAGCCTCAGAATTATCTTCTGAATCTGTGACGGAGTGGCGCCACTAACAACCGTCTTTAAAAAGACACGTAGAAAATAAACTGAATCCCGGTGAGGTTGTTACTGACGTGTTTGATGTCACAGTAAAATGTGAAACTGATTTATTTAACTCGCACGATGTTCATTTTGAATTCACTTCAAACTCTTCAGGAGAGACTCACTCATAACTTCAGCAGTTAGCTTCGGTGCTAATACACGCTGTTTTGTCAGCTACATTAAAGTTAATGTAGCTCACTGCTAACACTCGGCAGCATTTTAAATACATCATCTCACGGTCTACATTAGCAATATGCTACATTTTGTGCTTCACATTCTAGCTGGCGCTAATTTGGCAGTTAATAGATTGTGTTAGCGAGTCTGCTAGCTGAAGTTAGCAAAGTTAGCTATCTAAACATGGCTTCTTTTAAAACTACAGTTTGGCCAGTTGAGTTTGTAAATTAGTAGTTAAGGATAATTGAGCTATTTTTCTTTATACTTTGTTTTGACTTTAAACATTAAATTGAACATTTTAAATTCCGACAGTTTACTTTTTGATCGTTTGTATTTATATCTGTTTATAAGTAAATAAAGACACTGTGTTTAATCGCTTTCAGTATTTCTGATTGTGTATATAGACTGATAGTTATATTATTAATATTATAGCTACATTACAGTCTGTTATTAACAATTGATCAACTTTTTATATTCTGTTTATACATGTTAGTACGGACAAATACAACACGTTGTTAAACCCAATGTGTGTTAATAAAGTTCACGGATAAATGTTGTCCATCAAAGTTGACCAGTGTGTTTACAAACTTTCTCTGTGTCACTCACACGTACAGCACGACATCGTACGGGTGACAGGTTGAAGTACAGGCACTATAGAGTGAAGCATTGTGGGAGGTTGAGTGCTCGGCTGGTCTGTTTTAGCTAGCAGCTTCGAGGATGTCAGCGCTAAACGTCTGACCATTGTGATGACGTTTTAACGATGTAAAGTTTAAAAAGTGTAGAAGAAGAAGCAGCACACACACACACACACACACACACACAAACACACACACACACACACACACACACTGGAGAATATTAATGCAACAACGAACTGAAGCTGATTTTCCTCTGAGTTACTGCTGCTGCTAAAATACTAATAAAATAATGATTAATGTTACGTTAATGGGAGCAAAGACATTTTGTATTCAATTTAAATTCTATCATAAAATTTACATAAATGTGTAAATTTCTTTGCTAAATTTCCATTAAGTTTAAATTCCACTGTTAAATGTTTAACAATGTTTAAATTCACAGTTGACGTGTTTACAAGTTTATTCAATCTGAGATTTTTGTCCTTGTTTTGCTTCCATACATGGTAATAATGAAATAATTGAACTGAGTGTGTAATGTGACGATTACTTGTTAACAACAGCTCAACTAGCTAACAAGCTAGCATCAGTAATACTAGTTAATACTACTGCTCATACGGCAGTTAGCATCTGAAGGCTATCAGTAAAGTTATAGGCACAGGTGGAGGAACTGAAGGTGTGTGTGACGGACAATGACCTCACTTCCCCCTGGAATGAAAGCGCTCCTGTGTGTGTGTCAGTCGGTCAGGTATGTGTGGATGTAGATCTGTTGTTGGATCCAGGGGGTGAAGTGCGTCACGTTGCTGTAAACTCCAGGTCCCAGCACTTTACTGAAGCACACGCTTCCCCACGACGTCAGGCCGAACAACGTCCAACGCCCGGCCTCCTCTGCGCACACCAGCGGACCGCCACTGTCGCCCTGAACACACGCAAACATTACACACTGATTAAAAGTTGTTCAGTGATCATCGAAATTAAAAGTCGAACTGCAACTAATCAACAATATTTCAATTTTCTGATTTAGTTGATGAAATGTGACATTAGTTTCTCTGAGTCAAGGCAAAATGTCCAGGGCGACGGTAAAAGAGTCAACGACAAAGACAAGCAAATTTGTGTTTATAAATAAAACACTATTGTTTAGTTAATATGCAGATTATTTGTCATCACATCTTATTGTTTATAAAAAGTGAGCAAAAAGGGTTTCGTGGAGTCTGTCCGAAGCAGTTAGCGCTGACGTTACCATGCAGGAGTCGACGGTTCCAGCGTCGTAACCGGCACAAAGCATCCTGGGAGTGATGGTCTTCATGTCGAAGTAAGACTGACACTGAGACAGAGAGATGATCCGGACCTCCCCTTCCTGCAGCTTAAAGGGCACTGCACACAAACACACACACACACACACAGACACACACAAACACACACAAACATACAAAAACACACACTCTTGTAAATATCTAATGTGATGTCATCGAGGGTCCTCACAAGGTGTGACAGACAGATGTGTGTGGTCACTCACTCCTGTTGCCCATGTGACCCCAGCCGGTGATGTAACAGTAGGAGTCCGGTGACGGCAGCTGACCGGGCTGAGGCAGACACACCGGTCTGACAAACGGCGTCTCCTCCACCTGCAAACAAGACGACACGTCTCATCAATAACGTCCAATCACTGCTGACCATCCACGTCCTGCATCGGCGCCCTCTGACCTCAGAGTCCAGCTGCACCACGCTGATGTCGTAGTCGACCACCGCCCGGTTGTAGCGCGGGTGTACGATGATGGAGCGCACCCCGCGGCTCTGGCTGTGGACGCCCGGATGGTCCAGGTTGTTGAGGCCCAGGACGACCTTCCACAGGTCCGCGCTCTCCCTCCTGGTGGGGACGCATCAGTGTTTACAAACACACGCTGTGACCCCGCCCCCACCCAACCACCCACACCTTCCATCTCACCCCCCGTCTCACCCCTCAAAGCAGTGTGCGACGGTCAGAGCCCACCTCCGGCCGATGAGGACGCAGCCGCACACATGTCCACTCTGCCCGCTCTGCAGCGAGCACTGCCACGGCCACGCACCCCGCCGGGACACCCGCCCTCCCAGGATCCTCTTCTTCCTGTGAGGGTGGATGCCCACAACTGGACGAACACCACACTCTGACAGACAGAGAGAGAGAGAGAGAGAGAGAGAGGGAGAGAGAGAGAGAGGCTTATTATGACCTGTGATCACTAAATCAATAAGCGATCAACAATTAAATATTATACTATTGACAAGTTTATTAATTTTACTGTGAAGAAGAAAGTTTTACCTTCTTTGGTACAAAACACAGAAACTCTCCTCCTGGAATGACACGTATGACTAGAGAGGGAGAGAGAGAGGGAGAGAGAGAGAGAGAGATTTTGTTGAAAAGCCTGAACATGAAATCTGTATTACTCTTCGGCCACAGATCCAGAAAAAAAAACATGCATCAAAAGAGTGAGAGGTGTGAAAGAGTCGGACTGTGAGACCCTGACCCTCACGCCTCCTCACTGTAGTGGAGGTTTTTACGAGTTCGGATATGTGACGTTGGATTCCAGGTGATGATCAGCAGATTCAAGTTTAAATCACAGACCTGCTGTGATTAGATCCTGTGGCTGGTCCACCAGGGTCAGTCTGAACCTGAAGCTGGACCTGGTCAACAGCTTCAGCCTGAACAGTTCTCTTGAGGTCTGGCTGAGTTACCTTCTCTTCTCCAGTCGGGCCTGAAGAGAAGAACTGTTCCTCAGGTTCCACTCAGGATGGACATGTAACCAGCGGCGACGGCCCGGGACTCCAGGCTGGTCAGCTACCATGGAATCAGAGGAAGGAACCCTGCAGAGGAACACACACCTTTAATATCACACTGTTAGTCATCTGTGTGTGTGTGCGTGTGTGTGTGTGTTACTAACCTTACCCTAGTCCCAGCTGGTCACAGGTCAGTTTGCTCAGCTCGTGGTTCCACTCGTCTGCACAGACCTGATACTCTGCTGCCGTCCTGAAGACTGTCAATACTGAACCTGATTGATCGGACAGAGACACTGTGGAGAGAAGAGTGTGTGCGACAGAAGGTTCACAATAAACAAAATACACATATATTTTTAACAGTGTATAATCTGCACAGTAATGTTTTCATGTGTGTGTGTTGTACCACAGTTCCATTCGTCTGAACTGTCTGAACAGTGTTTCCTTCCGTCGCACCACAGTGTGCGATGGACACACTGATGGTTGTTACAGGAGAGCTCGTTGTCTCTGCACACAGCTGAGGAGACAACAACACACACGGTCAACAGCAATACAACAAAAAACAATGACAGCAACAATGAGACGACGACAGAGATGACACCACAACAAGATGAAGTGGTTACAGTAAGTGTTCAACAGAATGATCATCCTCACAGCAGTTGGCCTCGTCCACCAGCAGGGGGCAGTCTGGGAAGCCGTCACAGATCATACTGGCTTTAATGCACACGTTGCTGCCGGGACACTCCCACAGAGCGCGCTCTGAGCAGCCTGAGACACACACACACACACACACACAGACACACACAGTGTTAATGCAATGACAGCTGACTGCCACTGAGAGCGACTCTTATTTTGAAATGTCTCACCACAGTTGTCCTCGTCGCTGTGGTCATCACAGTCCAGGTGTCCGTCGCAGCGTTTGGACGCCAGGACGCAGCGACCAGACCGACACTTGAAGTGGCTGGGGGAGCACTCTGCCGCCATGGCAACATCGAGAATGACAACAAGAAAGACATTTTATTTTTATTCAACACGACACACAAAGAGTCAAGTGAAGCGACGTCACCCGAGCGACCAAGACGTCAGTACCTTCGACGCCGGCCTCCGGCAGCAGGCAGGTGGCGTTTCCTCCCTCCTCTGGAAACTGGCTACAGTCTGAATCCTCGGGCCACTGCAGACCCACAATGCCAAGCACTGACTCACACTTCTCCTTCGCGTTACGACACAATGACCTGCGGGCGAGAGACATACAGACAAGAGAGAGAGAGAGATGGACAACATGACTAACAGAATGATCGACGAACTAAATAAACAACACGCTCATTATGACCAGCTAACTAGTCGCTGACCTGCAGGGCGGGACTCTCTGCAGACTGACGGGGTCACACTTGGGCACGAGCAGCGTGCAGGCGTAGAACATGAGGTACTGGTAACAGCCGGTCTGGACGAGGGCGGGGAACAGCGAGGACTCCCAGGACACAGAGCTCTCTCGCTGTGACAGGTGACCCAGGTAGTTTGGGTAACTTGTCAGGTTGTAGGGCAGATTCATACACAGCTCCAGGCTGATGGGCTCACAGCGAGCTGGGACACAGAGAGACAGGACCAGAATTATGACATAACACTAATCTTTGAGTATCTTTCTTGTTTTCGTTTTTTTACGCGGAGTGAGGACTCACTGCAGTTGTTGTTTCGGGTGTCACAGGTGGTGCTGCCCCCCACACACACAGATGGACAGGAAGTGGAAATACAGCTGGGCTGACCAGGACCACACACACCCTGAGCTGGAACACACACACACACACACACACACACACACACACACACACACACAGAGAGATAAATAAAAAGACGTTGGATGTACAGATGTGAGATGGATGTGATGCAGTCAGATGTCTCACTCTGCTCTCGGCTGCAGTGCTCCTCGTCGCTACCGTCTTTACAGTCGTCCTCGCCGTCACAACGAAACGCAGAAGGAATACACTGACCGTTCTTACACTCCAACAGACCCTGACTCTTACAGGCTGCACACACACACACAGGTTTACAATCAGGTAAAAGATAAAACATCATAATGGGATGTTATTTGATATAATATAATATTCTATAATAGTATATAATATATTATAATGTAACTCACAGCAGTTGAGCTCGTCGGACTTGTCCAGACAGTCGTGGTCTCCGTCACACAACCAGTCTCTGGACACACAACGACCGTCACCACAACGATGCTCACGAACCAGATCACACACTGAAAGCGTACGCGCACACACACACACACACACACACATTAAAAGCAGTTTAATTTCTAACAAACTACAAAAATAAGAGTCTCTCTTTACCAAAATAAAAGCACAGGCCTTTTCATTCAGAGCAGCTGAGACACAGGAAACCCCAACAACATGATACTGTGTGTGTTTGTGTG